TTTAAACTAAAGAGTCTAGTGCCAGTTACTTAAGAGACGATTAAATATAATAAGCGGGATTTATAGAAGGCTGATACATAAAAATATAATTGAGGCAAATTATTGACTTATACTATTTTGAGAAGAATAACAGATCTCTCCAATGCTGGTGCTTTTGGGATGTGGAAGGTGGCCTCTGATTGAGTGGATCGGAACTTTCTATCTTGGACTTTTTGAAAAATGGATTACGTATATGTTGAGTTATGTGGCAAGAGATCTATGGGATTGGGGCATGCAGAAGACCTGGTTGTTACCCCAATGTGGTGGTTGGAATTAACAATCTAGATAAATGACGTTACAGAAGATACTGCATGGAATATAAATATAAAGTCACTCGGGTGGTTTTTTATATATGAAAATACTTATTATTGATGGGGGCAGATGGTAATTGAAGATACTGAATATACTGTTGGAGGCTGAACCTGATATTACCTTAACATGGGTGATGGAATTAATAATCCAGTTGAAAGACATTACAGAAGATATTATATGGATTACAAATTTAAAGTCATTTGAGGATTTTATTTATATATATGGAAATATCTTTTAGTGGTGTAGTGTGGGCAGAAGAACAAAGATATTGAAAATATTATGTATGTTAGACCTGTAGGAAAATGGGTGGAGATAGGTTATTGATTGTTTAATTTAGGAAAAGGGATGTTATGTTTAGATATGAATATATGCAAAAGATTTGAATTAAGAGATATATGTTTGGGGGTGGAGGAAATGGGTAGGCTATGAGTTGAATAAATGCTAAATCAGGATTTATTATATAGTTTTATAGCTGAAGGTTGTTTTGAAATGTATAGTATAGTATAGGGGGGATATAATAATAATGTTAGAAAGAAATGGTTAGCATATAGGGGGTGGTGTAAAAGAATGGTAAAGTATTATATAATTTGATGTTAATTTGGATTTTATTTAGGAGAAGCCATGGGAGGAGGGGAGGCTGAGGGAGGGTTAGGGTGGAGGGGGGGAAAATGGGGGGGGGGAATCTGTATTTGAAAAACTTTTTCAATAAAAAAAAAGAAGAAAAACATTGAAGTTAAAACAGTCAGATTCCAAAAACTTTCTGTAATTTAATTGAAGTCCATTACAAAAGCCTTTCAGTCAAACCAACCCTTATATATGTTTAATTTACCAATTTTTTTTTCTAATGCTTTCCCTTCCAGATAACTGCAAACCATTTCTAAGTGGTTTGCTGCTAAAATACAATCCAGTTCTTCAATTTTTTATAAAAAAAGGAAATCAGGAAACAGTGTGCAAAAATACAGCAGCGAAGGGAATGCCTCCAAAATTAAGTATTTCAGAAAACTGATTCCAGAAATTTCTGCACAGGTAGATGAGGATGGGGAAGGAATGCATGCAAATTTATGAATGAAAAGTGTTGCTTTTCAGCTTTCAGTGTATTATCTGTCTCTTTGAGCCTAAAGACCTTGCTCAAGGAATAGTAAAGGGAGGAATGAAATTGGCAGCTTTGCAAGCATAAAGGCAACAGAACAGGTCATCAAGCAACTAAGGACATAAAGGCCAAGGTTCAAATCCCCTGCAGAGACGGCAAGGCACTGTCTAAGCCTCATCCAGCTGTTACAAACATTTGAAATGAGATCAGAATAACAAGATTTCCCATTCACAATCCAGGATTATCTGCCCCACCCGATTAGTGGACAATCCGATTAGATCCCTAATCGGTCAAGCCTGGTCTGCCAACTACTGGCAATTCTACTACAGGAGGGCTGTAACGGGAATTCACTGAATTGTGCTGTCTGTGACACTCCTTATGCCAGAAAGTAACTGGGTTTACATCAAGTCATGGTTGCCTTCCAGATGCAGGGTAGATCTCTCATCATATGGGCTTTCCCCTTGTCTGGAAGCTGCATTTTGTGTGGTGTGGATGTCAAGAAAGAGATGCCATTGCAATTCAAGGAGGAATGAGGTTCTTGTGTCTAAGGGTGCTTGGATCAGGGAGACAATGTGTGAATGCCAGAATTGGGGAATGGGAGGTCACTAAAGCAAAGAAACAATTAAGAAAACCCACCAAGGTTGACAGTTCCATTTCAGAAACGTTTTAGCCCCCTTTAGGTTTGCTATTTTTGTTTGTTTTCCTGTGGCAGAGAAGGAAAGATAACAATCTGTTATTCTACCCATATTCACCAACACACATAGATGTTTTTAAGTTTTTATTTTATTTTAATTGAAATATGCACATATTCTCCTCCTACATCCCCAACGTATTAAGAAATAAAAGCAGAAAATACATCTCATGGATAATCTGGGACTAAGCCCTGAAAACTTGTGAGGAGCATAATTTGTGGATAGAATGAGCTCTTCAAATATTCATAAAGGTTGCCTTCTGTGAGCATTTAAGTTAAAAATTACTTCCTAAATATACTCAACTCTCTTATAAAATCAGTTTGGACTCTGTGCTTTAACGAATATAATACACCCAAATGGTGAAGTGACCAAGATCTTGCAAGGGTTGTCTAGACACTTACATCCATTTATTTAGCAGCCATTCAAAGTTGCAACCGCAATGAAAAAAGTGACTTACAAGTGGTCCTCCACTTACGACCATCGCTGGATCACCACGTGATTCACTTAACAACTGCAATGATTCACTCAACAACCATGGCAAAAAAGATCATAAAATCAGGTGTGACTCACTTAAACAACCTCTGAGTCAATCTCAACACCGACCATGTAATATTACAATACTATCATATTCTAAAAGGCAAGACTAAAAACTAGGTTGAACGGTTAAGAGTACCAGGTATTTCTAACCTAACAAAAGAGAAGGATTAGGGGGACATGATAGCTGTCTTTCAGGACTTGAGGGACTGTCACAGAGGGCATCTGAGGGTAGGATAAGAAGCAATGGGTAGAAGTTCCTTAAATAGAGATCCAACTCAGAATGAAGGAGAAATTTCCTGACAGAACAATTAATCAATGAAACAGCTTGCTTCCCAGAGTTGTGGGTGCTCCATCATTGGAGTTTCAAGAAAATATTGGACAACCATTTGTCTGGGATGGTGTAAGTTCTCCTGTCCTGGGAAGGGGGTTGGAATAGAAGACCTCCAAGGTCCCTTCCAGCCCTATGATTCTGTTTCTTCTTAGAACATTATATAGGTGTTTGCTCTCCTGGGGTGCCTTTTTAATCCCAGACTAGTTTACAACTATGGGATCTAGGATCTCCCATCCAAATTTTAAATAGATTCAACCCAGGTTTATTTTTCAAGATCAAGCAAGGACGTTTTAAAATCAGCAAAGTGAACTAGAGGATCAATTTACTTTTTTGACCCCCTCAAATGTATTGATAAAAAAGGGGTATTTTAATGATGAAATGAAGCCACGGCTGAATTTGACCACCTGTCAAATTCTTAGAAATCCAGTTTCCATTCTGCTAAGTAGAAAGCCAGTGGATGAGAAAGAAGAGATGAAAAGGAAAAGTGGAAGGAAAAATTGGTTGGAAAAAGGGGTGTTGTTTAGCTATGGTATCAAACACAAACACACACACACACTTGTAATGAGAGACACAGTGTGAATTGCAGAGAGTTATTGATTTATGACCACAATTGAGCCCTGAATTACGGTCATAAATCGTGACAGTCATTAAGTCAAGGTAACCACTGGACTTCATCTAATTTTACAACTTTTTTTGCAGCGGTTGTTAAGCAAATGCCATGGTTGTTGAATGAACTCTGCAGTCATTTTCACCAATGGGCATTTTTCTGGAAACCAAAAATAAACAGAAATGGGTAAAACAGATCGAAAATCAGTCATATCACTGCGGAATGTGGAACACAGCTATAAATGTAAGCTGATTGCTAAGCACACAAAATGTTAATCACTTGACCACAAGGATGTGTGTGCAGTCATAGGAACGTCTAAAACTGTTCATAAGAAACTCTGGGGAGGCCCACCATAACTTTGAACAGTCATCAAGTAACAGTCAATAATGAGGACAAACTGTACTCCAAAAGTAACTCTTACTTCTAGGCCAGACATTGTAATGAAAATGGCCAGGATATCAAGACCTTCTCTGGAGGATTTACTGTTGTTTGAAGATGGGACTGGAGAATTTTTTTTTCCAGAGAAGGCCTCAGAGCTGCCTCTAATAGTTTTTCCTCAGAGGAAGCCTCTATGAGATTCCTCAGTGACTGTTTTCCTGGGACAAGGGATAATTTCCTTTCCGGCTAAGATCAAACCATTATGTTGTTCTATTTTTTCACATCAATGTCTTCCATACCATTTGAAAAGGATACCAGGCATCTCACCGACTTCCAGGCTCCATTTGTACTCCAATCTTTCTTCCTCCATCCTGATGTTCTTTCTTCTCTTCACTGCACATGCTCCTGAGAAGCTCCCTCTAAATTGCAGCATCCAAAATGCAAGCCACTTCTTTGCATCACCAAACTGCCCAGTACAAACCTTAACCAATTCTATCCCATGGTCTGCTTTGGCTCTGGAGTCCTTGCCTTTATGTTCCTTTTTTATTGTTGTTGAAACTCCAGTTAAATTACAGAACTTGGCTATTTGCCTGACCCTTTCATCCAATTAATTATATCGAAGATTATCTTTATGAAAAATAGCAAAAATAAAATCTCATCATGCCTGTAAGAGAAAACTGTAAGACACTTGCAAAACCAGCCCAATATGGTGTGGTTTTCTTCAACTTGGTGCCCTCCAGATGTGCTGGACTTTTGTCAGATAAAACCAAAACATCTGGAGGTCACTTCACTTCAGTTGGGAGCTGAAGGGTTGAATTCAGGCTTACTGTGTCTAATTTTCACACATGTAGCTATTTTTCTTTTTTTTAAATCAAACCGTTTCAAATTTGGAACACCCTGTTTTGAGTTCCAAACAATTCACTTTCAAAATGAGACGTCTCTGTCATTTGGGGATGGTTTCAAAGGAAGGTGAAAAATTCCCCTAGACCCAATTTACAAATGGAGACCCCACAATCTGCTTGAGCCAAGTTTATTCAAGCAGTGCTAAGGAAATTCTACCAAAGATGGGCACAAACCACCTTTTATATACTCACATAATAAATGCTGACCAATAACAATGCCAAATGACCATCATAATAGGGGTTAGATTTTTTTTGTTTATAAAGAGATAAGGAGAATAATAAGGTTGAGGTCGATATGGATCAATTTTTGTGGTTGATTACATTCTGGTTTCCATCTAAAAATACTGTACCTTTGCTGATTTCAAAGATACCTTGTGAGCCAGTATTTGCAAATGCCTAAGCAAAAATCTTACTTGAGTTTAAGGGGCTTGTTAGTTTGACAGACTTGCTTCAGGTATTTGCTTTCATTCCCTCACAACCTCAGCAGGACCTGTTTCCCTCAATTTGTGATAGTTTGAACCTCAGAGGACTTTCAAACTAATTGAAATAGCCCGGAGAAGTTCACAAAAATGGCGCTGAACCCAAAACAGGGTGATTTTGAAAGATTTTGCACAAGCCTGCAAGGAAGATTTAGGACCCCTTTAGGGAAGCCGTTAGCACTCAGGTCCATTTATCTCGCTCCGTTTCTGAGGATAAAAGAAGGGAGAAGGTGAGACTAAAGGTGTATTTCTTTGAATTCTTTGAAAGAAAGCAAAAGAAAATGATGAGAAAAAAGAAAAGAAAAGCTAAATTTTCTTTAGGGGCTGAGAATTTTTCTTAAGAAAGTGAAATCTTGCTCTTTAAATGGCCCTATGGGGAAAGGAATTGCTGGCTCTGTTCCTTATAAAGATCGCAGAACACATTAAGGGTGAAAACTTTGTTAATTTACCCCACTGTAGAGGGGAAGGAGATGAGAGTGAGAAATTCTCCTACCTCTTCCTGTTTTCCCAGATTTCAACCAAGAAACTTCAGCATTAAACATTTAATTATGTTACAACCCTCAGAAGGAGGATAGGCGCAAGTGAGAGGGAAGGGAGAGAAAAATACAGAGATGGTTGGTTCAACACACACACACACACAGACAAAAGGTGATACCTTTTTATTAGACCAACTTGTGTTGGCAAGAGAGCGTGCAAGCCATCGAGCATTTGGAAAGATTTAGCATTTAGTCACTGGCTTTAACTAAGCACATATGGACAGACATTGAAAAAATAAACCCAGAAACAAAGAGTTACCTTTCAGAAAGAAAAAAATGGAACAGACCTTTTCTTAAAAAATAATAATAATAAATACTTTTTTTAAAATGAGAAAATTAATAACTTGCTATACAAACAAATTCAGAAAGAAAAATTCCCCAGGCGGGGAAAAAACACTCAGACCTTCCGAAGTCAGCCAGTTAAAGCGCATTCAGAACAAAACAAACACAAGGTTTTTTTTCCCACAAAAAACAAGGGGAAGGAGGAGAAAGAAGAAGGAAGAAATCACCCGTTACACACAGCAGCTGGTATTTACACACGGAGGAAGGGAAGGAACTAAAGAGTGAAAGGGGAAAAAAATCTTGAAAAAGAGGAGGAGGAGGAGGAGGAGAAGGAAGAGGAAGAGGAGAAACTAAAGATATGAGGTGAGGAAATGTTTCCTTTACATATTTGGGCCCCAAATGCTGCTAAGATTCATATGGCAATCTAACTTGGATTAAATTCAACATTGATCCTTCTGACACATGCCAATCTCACTTATGACCAAGGCAAGGGTAGGCTGGACAAAGACAAGTTCTGTGCCCACATTGAGTAGTACCACTACCATGTGGTTGACATTTGCTGGCACCAGCACAAATATACCTGATTGGATCTCTAAAAATCCTGTGTTTTGAACATGGATGTTCTGTTTATTGCAAAAACGCTTACCCTTTAAAGCTAGGTCAGCCCTGTTTAAAAACTTGGCTTTTCTTTCTTTCTGCCTCAGATGTACACTGCAAATAGAAGGCTGTTCCTTCCAACTACAGAGACATTTTTCAAACTTTAACCCTGCAAAATGGAACCGAATTGTCTAATGGGGAGTTCTCAGCATGATCCATGTCACATCAAACTACATTCCCCAGGATGCTTTGCACAGAAAGCAAGAAGCTAATCCAAAACCAGTTGAAAGATTAGGAATTTGTGTTTAAGCAAAATATGAAACAACAACAACATTCTTCTATCTAGAAAGTGGGGCAAACTAAAGATCTAGTCAGCTTGAAATGCCCAGAGGATTCTGTCTTTGAAAGATGCATGGATTACAAGGAACAGTTAATGTTTTAAAAGGCTACCAAGGAAGACTTTTACAACTCATGATGCTCAGATGACACCCTCCCCCCCTTTTGTCATTTAAAAGTATAAAGCTGTTTGAGGAAATGTGGCAGATCTTTCTTCTAGTTCAGACTGGGAGACCCTGAAATAGTTTGGGAATAGATTTGTCTGTCTGCCCAGGATATATTGATACATTCCTCATATAATAGTAGGATAATTTATGTTCTTATGTTATTTGTGTACTACAAGCCTACTTTTTCCATAAATGAGGGATACAGTTTTTTGAGTATATCCATTACTAGATGGATTGGCACATGTCTTGTCCAAAAACTCTTTATGTTCTTATGCTGCCTCCATATATATCAACGGGATCCAGGCTAAACAATGCACATTTCTTTCCCTCGCTTTCTCTGGAATCCTGTGGCTAAACTGGTTTCTAAACAAGGCTGACTTTGGCCAAGCGTTTTTGCAAAGGGTCTTGCCAAGAGTTTTAAACCCAGATTCCCTCTTTCAAGTTAAATATCCCCACAAATCTCTGCGCACTCGAGGGCCTCAAGCCCTTCTGTTTCTTGAAAGCATCATATGAGAGGAAAAGAGGGAGGAGGAGAGGGAAAATATTTTAATTAAGAGATGAATATATATTTCTCTTTTTTTAAAAAAAATAAAATCCCCCTTTTCTTTGGATTGAGGGAGGTCTTCTGGATGCAAAAAAAAAAGAACGCAAGAAGGCAGAATGATTTTTTTTTTCTGGTCTAGAGTGAATCATATTTAGACTACTATCAATGGAACTATTTTAAGATTTTATTTTTTAACCAGTTCCAACCCTCTGTTTTTAAATATATTTCAGAGACAGCTGGAATTTTATTACAACTTCTGATTTGGAAAGGTGCTCTTTGACCACAACTGCCCGCTTTCGAGTTTCACGTCATTCCTAAATCAAGGAAGCAACTATCTATTCACATGTTACAAGAGATGCATATTAGGGTTTTCATCTCTGTTAAGTGTATGAATTTTACACTGCACTGGATTATGTTGTCCATAAATATTTACATTAAATTGGGGGGGAGGGGGAGGAAGCTTTTAAAGCTGCTGTCTCATCATCTGGGGCACTAGTTTTAGTTGACCACAATGTTTTTAATGGGTTAATAAATTACATCTTATGTTATATCCATTACCCCAGTGTTTCTCAATCTTGGCCACTTTAAGACATGTGGACTTCAAGCAAAGCTGGCTGGGGAATTCTGGGAGTTGACATTCACATCTCTTAAAAGTTACCCAGCTTGAGAAACATTGCTTTACCCTATCCCTGTCTGGTTTTCCTGGGTTAATTGTTCTGTAGATGAAGCTTTTTCTGTGTGATGTTATCCACCTTTCTTGGCTGGGAGAAGGGTGTTCCAAAATTAAGGCTGAATCATGGCTTGCGTCAGAGAGTGACAATGTTACCCTAGTTCCACAAAAGGGGTAAGGGCTGACTTCTTCAAAAAGCCACCATTTGAGATGTCTAGACAGCCATCTCCAGTAGGTACAAGGTAGAATGATCAAGAATTCTTGCATGCTGGAGACATAACTGGGTGTCTTTATAAAAGGGAGACTTTAAACAAATGCTCCCAGGCAGGAGTGGCAAATAGGAACATTAATGAATGAATATGTAGGCCACACAATTATCAGAGGAACATATTCCCTCACTTATGAATTGGAAACATGAAGGTTTATCTTTAGAGTGGACATAAGAAACTCCTGCTATCATTTTAGGCAGATGGTATTTACCAGGGAAACCCATCACTTTTTAAGCTTCTTTTCAGAGTTTTGTTAGAGAACCTCAAATTTGCTAATGAGGGAGAGGAGAAGGACACCAATCATGTCAGATCAAGACTATTCTGTTACACATCTGCAGTTACGCAAGAGAAACCATGTCTCTGGTAGCTTTATTCCAACTTAAGTATCACAGCTGTTTTCTGTCCATTGCTTCCTGGAAAGTCACATAGTTTGCAATAATGTTTTCCCTCATACTGATGGGACAAATTCATGAAGGACTGGGGTGCCATATTAGGAATGGTGTGTCACAATGTATACCGGTGCTGAGCATCTCCAAGGGCATGCTTAAATAAGGATGGACTTTGGAGTCAAAGTCCATCCTACTTTTGATTTCAGAAAGAAAATCAGCCAGTGTTTACTCCATCAGAGACTGCTATAAGCATCTTGGTTTAAAAAATTTAGAGCCACCCTCTTGACCATTTTATAGAATGTCAGCATAAATATGGATTGCTTCCTGTGGAACACCCTGCTCCCAGTTGGTAAATCAGTTCCTATTAGCAAGATCAATAGATCTCATTAAATCAGGAAGTGGGAATTTTTCTCAGGCCCCGAGGCTACATTTAATATTTTTGAGATGCTTAGGAACTGGGATGTGCAGGGCGATTAGCAAAATTTTTGGTCAGTTTGGGGAATATCTTGGTTTTTCCAACTCTGTTAAGCCTGACAAGATTACAGTAGGGTTTCTACGCCATTTCTGTTAAAGAAAGATGGGAAATTGCACTAAACAATTTTCAGCAATATTTTCAGAGGAACTTCCGAATGCAATTGGAGCTACGTGTGACACTAATGCTCCAGATAGTTCATCCCAGCACTAAGCCAGTTATTCACCATTTAAAGAATGGGGGATTTTTTGCTTCCAGAGAAGAAAATCTCAAGAGAAGAGATGCAGAGTGGCTTCATCTACAGAAAGTGTCCTGCTAATTTTTGACATGTGCAAAACATAGGCTAAGGGTAAAGTTACTTTGAAATGAACAAAGTTCCCTAAAAGGACTTTTGCTTTTTTAAGCTCCCTTGATCCAAAACTAAAAGTTATCATTATGTGATTTTTAGATAAGGGGGAACAAGAAAGAGAACTCTATTGATAAAATAATTATATATATATAAATTTCTATCCATAAATTAGGTTACGTGATAAGATGGAAAAAATATGCTTGAGTTCGTTCCCCCATTTTGTTTGGGGGTTTTTTCTTCTTAATATTGTAAACTTGAGCAATAATAATAATAATAACTGAAGGGGAATGAAAGAGTAAGGGAAAAGAAAGATATGTCAATTTAAAAAAAAGAATGATTTTTTTTATAAAGAAAATTTTGTGAAAAGTTGTTTTAGCAAATACGCCACAGACTACAATAAACCGCCTACATTGAAACAATACACAGATCAATACCCAAAATGGAGAGTTGAGGGGATTTCAACATGTTTGCAGGATTTGTCTTTCGTCTTTGCGATGCAGTTAACTTTTTTTTTTTCAGAACAGTTGCTTTTGTTGGTTTGTGTGTGATATTGGATACGTTTTGTAAAAAAGATCAAAAAATCTAAGTTTTTTTTGTTCTTTCTTTTCTGGAGTTTGATCTCTTATGCAGAGATGACGGAATGAAGACTTTATAAAAAAGAAAAATAAGAAAAGTATGTACATATATACACACAAAAAAAAGAAAAGAAAAGAAAATCACAAAGCTGAATGGTTCTGAAGTCATTGCTGCAGTTACCCCCCTCCAAGATATCCCCAACGTTAATATGAAACAATTAATAAAACAAAAACACTTCATGGCAAATGGAAAGATGGATCTGAACCTACGGATACCTCCTGAAAGTGTCTTAAGGCATCATTTAAAAATAATGCTTTCCAAAACAATGTGGAAAAATAGTCAGTTCACAGATGGTAGCTTTTGAGAAGAAGTCATATCTCGACTATGTCTCTTACTGTCCAGCCAGACATGGATGAGCCAGCCCCATGAACCATGTATTTCTCTTGGTTGAGGGTAATTACAGGTCACATTTTAAGAAAGTATCAATATATGTGTGTATACATGAGCTAAATTATATCCCAGGTGTCTGTGTGCTTCCTTAATTATATCTATGTGTGTGTGTTTGAATGCAAACACAGACACATATGCTCAAATAAAGATGAATGGCATATTACTCACCTTAATAGAGCACTCTTGTGTGTTCAATCTATACACTACAACCTACATCTTAATATACTGATATAGTGTAGGTTCTGAATTTACAATAGCGTATATGTGTCCCAACAGACTGATTTATTTCTAAAACATACCAACTTTAAAATTAAGTTTTTATAATTTATAAATAAATCACTTTGGAGACCACTGCTGTATTAAGTGTTCGAGTCTCGCCTTCTGCTCATAATTGGGAAAGGCAGAAACAGGCCCCTAAATACCCATTGCATTTTACTAGTCTGCTGCAGATCAAACTCGTGCGTATACCAGTATATAAATAAGCGTTATTTTGCAGGTGTCCAAGATATAACATAGATAAATATAAGACTATCAATTGATACCAGAGACCAGTTGTCCACCTGCGGATTCATTAAAGCAGGAAAGCAATGGGAATTTTTCCAAAGGAAAAACCAAAAATATGGGTGGGTCTTTGGACCTTCCAACCCAATTGGAAAAAAGAGTGAAGGCACCCCAGAGGGGATCCATCTGTCCCAGCAACCATTCATTTAGACTTGTCTCACACTCTGAGAACCAACGAGCTAGTCACACATGCATACAAAGACACCAAGTTAGATTGCATAATATTTAGGCACATTAAAAGCTACACATAGGTATCAACGGGACCACATATGCAAGTAGGCATACTGACTCATGCCAACAATACAGAATAGACATTTGCCACACAGTGTACTCTGGTCCTATTTCCCCAGGGTTTACAGGGATTCACATTTTTAACTTCGTTATGAATTTGACTGATAAGTTGATTACATATCAGACTGATTTTGTAAACTAGTGTTTTTGAAACCTGGCCACTTTAAGAAGTGTGGACTTCAACTCCTAGAATTCCCCATTGGCTGGGGAATTCTGGGAGTTGAAGTCCACACTTCTTAAAGTTGCCAAGTTTGAAAAACACTGGACTCATGAGGGGTGGCAATGTACCACTTCGGTTGCAAAGGGAGAGCTGACTGAATACATGTTTGAATATAGTGTTATCTTCCAGGAGGTGTTCTGTTCACACATATGATTAATGTGAGTGAAGTCTGTAAAACAGGATCTCTAGTTCTGAAGTCTGATCCCCTGCATCTAATCTAAAGCAGCATAATTCAATGGGAGATATGGCACATGAGCCCAAAGATTTGGGTAATGGGTTTCTAAGCAGTCATTCAAAGAGGGGTTTGGCCCTGTGGAGGGCCATCTTAATCCGACTTTCCATTAGGTGAAATAATTCAATACCCAGACTTGCATTCACACCTGAAATTTCTGGGCATGGTAGTATATACTAAAGGATTTAACTGGCAAATTGGCAGCCACATTTCTTCATAATGGTGATCCAGCCCAGATTATAAACAGCTTTCCTTCTAAAATCTGTTTTCAACACAATGGTTAATATTACAAGTGCATGATATCCAGGTGTCTTAGAATGTATTTATTACATTTTAGCATTTTCTAATCACCCACTGGGTAGTTTAAGACAGGATAGTGAAATCTCCCCCCTCTTCTTCTTCAAAACATGTTTATGTAAAGTCCCCTTATTTTCACACCTATGCACTTTATTTTTGGCTTGTTTTCAATAGGTTTCATTGCCAATTACACATGAACCTTAAAACAGTGTTCCAAACACTTTTTGGAAGAGACAGCTTTGCTGAGTCTTTTGTGGCAAATTTATTCAGATATAGGGATAGGGTCCATGTCCAGAGGGAAAGCCTGGCACCAAATGAGAGCTGCAGTTTATGAAAGGATGCCTGCAGAGAAACTGTTTCAGTGGCTTTTTAAAAAGCTCTTCCTATACAGGGAAGGATAATTAACAAGGATAATGTAAATGATTTGGGGGTCTTCCAAACCAAAATTAGGGGGTAGCTTTTCTGCAATCTCAGCTGCAGTGAATTGACTTTGCTCTAGGGTGAGGGGGGGGATGCATTTGCCACCATGCCATGCACAAAGCCAGCAGCAGAGACAGAAAAGACCTACATACTTGCCTATCGCTTGAAAGAAACTTGACTTTTGTGTTTCTGTAGTCATACCTACATTGCCACCAGTACAGTTACCGATACACCCACACTGAATATATGTAGCTTACATATATTCCTTATCACATATATAGAACATGCAAGCAGGCACACATACACACGCCTTCATTGATTTTGCAAAGTCAGAATTAAAGATGGGAGCAGAAATAGCCAATGGAGAGTTTTGGAGTAGAGAAACTGTCAGGCACCACCACGGGAGAAAAGGGTAGTTATGTAAACAGGGCCTTATGCTTAGGGCATCAACAATAGTAAACTTTTGGAACAGATTTGGAATGGCCACATTTCAAGGATGGATTTCAGGATGGAAAGAGCAAAGTTCAATCACAATAGAATTGGAGAAGGAGAATTTCTATGGAATAGCTGGCCAATGCCCCTCTAAGTCAGGGGTCTCCATATTTGGCAACTTTAAGACTTGTGGATTTCAACTCCTAAATTCCTCAGTCAGCCATGCTGACTGGGGAATTCTGAGAGTTGAACTCCATAAGTCTTAAAAGTTGCCATGTGTGAAGACCCCTGCTCTAAGACTTCATTCTGCTCTCTTAACTAGTCTGGAACCACAGCTTGCTAAAGGTAACTTTCCATACCCAAGAGGGTTTTCTTCAAGTCTTCCTTGCTAGTTCATCACCAACTCTGATTTTGGATTTGAAGGGCCTTCATTTTTCTTTTCTTTTGTTTGTTTTGTTTTCATACTAATGAATGGAATCCTGTATTATCCACATCTAAAGTTTTGGGAACCAGTACTGATGCTACTACTACTACTGATGCATCAGTCTTCTAGCTAGCTAGGAAATGTTTGGGAGGTGTCTATTAGATAGGAATGCCCTGTCATTGTCTATAGGAAATGCAGTGTCTTGACTGAAGTGGATAGAAAAAGATAAGCCCTTTTCCTGGGCTCTGTGTGTCAATTTAAGGGTCATTTAGAGAAGAGCAAACTGACTCATGAAACAGGACAAGCTTCCCCAAGAAAGAGACTATGCAAAATGAAAGACATCCAGTGAAGTTGGAATCACTTTTGACATAGATGGGTTATGCTTTTGATTACTGTTCACATATTCCTCAAACAAACCACATTCTGAACTAGGAACACCTTAATGTGCTGTTAGAAATTATTTAATGGGCACTCTGTTACCAAGCTTCAAAGTAGTTGTTCATGGGGTCTCTGTGTGTTTTAATAGCCTCAGTTTTCCTCTGCCTAATCAACCTTATACTAAAAATAAGTAATTTCAGCCTCATCTCTGCACTTGAACTTATTTAGACTGCCAACACTGAAGCTCTGTAGAATTACCTACCCACCAAGAAGACTTGTCCAGAACAATACTTCATGCTGGATAATTCATGATAGGTCTTCATTCTTAGCTACACTCCAAGAAAACTTTACAAAGGTAAGAAAGCAGCATGCATTGGAATTGCCCTATAAGGTCTTAAAGAAATGGAATATTCTGTATAGACAAATCTCCAAGCTGCTATGATTGTGCTAGCATGATTGTTTTGTTGTTACATAAAAATTTCAAAATGACAATTCCACAACACATCCACTGCTTACGGTATATTAAACAATAGCTGGTGGTGACTGTGGACGTATTGCATTGAAAATACAGAAACTCCTTACATTTCAATCTGGAAATGACCAATGTTTAAGTCATCGCTAAACAATTTAAGAATGACTCTCGGTGTTTATAAAGAGAGGAATGAGCATGCTCCATGAAATAACTGCATAGTTATACCAAAGTTAAGATTGCTGGCAGATCTGCATCACGCCTTGTATCAGCCTAGTATTACAAATATCTCTTTTTACTAAATGTTACAAAGGGGCACAATAAATTACTGCAATAATGCCTCTGGCCAGTGGGAAGGGGCTTCATTTCCTACCACTGCAGACTACTCAGCAAGGGTTAGTCGTGTTCCCTTTGATTGCTTCCTTCTTTCATAGTACATTCACTCTATACAGCCTAACTCAACATGCAGCCTTCAAGACATATTGAACTTCAGCATCTCGTAACCCCGTGCTGTGTAGTCCAAACTTGGATATTCTGAGAATTAAAGTGTGTTTGGAGAGCACCAGGTTGGGGAGGGTCACCTTAGGATTCTAAACTACAGAGTTGAGCCCATGTGGCTGGGGAATTCTGGGAGTTGGTCCACAAGTCTTGAAGTTGCCATGTTTGGAAACTCCAGTTCTAGTAGTAGAGGGAGGTTTCTTGTGGGGCACTGTGTTAGAGCACAGAGCTTCCTTTGGATAAACATACCCGACTCTGTTTTTTGTTTGGAGTGAAGCCCAATGGCATAGCATAATTAGCAATAGTTGATTAATATGTTGTGTTAATGTGTGTGTTTGCGTTGTGCAGGGTGCTTTCCGGTGCATATGAATTTGAGATGCATATGGACTTGCATTCGGATGTGGATGGGCTTTGGGTCTGTTCCTGCATCAGTTACATTTTGTAGGAGCTCAAGAAGATGGTCTAAGATCCCCTTTTCCTAGCCAGAAGTCACAACTGTTCTTGTTTTCATGAAGGAAAAAACAAGCAAGGGCTCATGTTTTCCACAGGCAGCGAAATCCCGTAGCACAGTCCACTCCCAAGCCGGTGGCCTCAGGTCAGGAGAAAGCTGCCCCAACAGGTTGCTTGCATAGAAGAGCTGCTCTGTGGAGCTAATGATGCTCCATGCATGAAAAAGGAATAGGGAGGGAAGGCTACATGGGTGGGGATGGGTGGAGACATAGGTATAACAGATTTTAAACCTGTGCTGATAAGCACATGTATTTGGAATTAAGAACCAACTCTGGCATTTAGTTGATTCAAGGGGCAAAACACTTTATGGACTGTACAATTTGGGAAAGAAGTGGGAGATAGTGGAATGAAGAAGAAAAATTCCACAGAAAACTAGCATATGGGGATGGGCTAACCACCTTGAAGAAAACAGATTTCTTCTTTCTTTCTTTCTTTCTTTCTTTCTTTCTTTCTTTCTTTCTTTCTTTCTTTCTTTCTTTCTCTTTCTTTCTTTTTCTTTCTTTCCCTTCCTCCATCCCTTGCTCCCTTCCTTCCTTTCTTTCTTTCCTTCCTTTCCCTTTCCTTCCTTCCTTCCTTCCTTTCTTCCTTTTTGTTTCTTCCTTCATTTCCCCTCCCCCTTCTCTCCTTCCTTCCTTCCTCTGCCTGCCTGATGCAAACATGTATTCCTTCTTTTCCATCTTCGAAAGTGGAAGTGTTAACATTTATCTAATTTGGCTGAATGTAAAGACTGTCAAGGTACGCACACACACATGCATACGCACACACACATAGGCAGACATACAGTAAAAATAAAAGAAAAATGGTGTCTTACCAGCACCCAGGCTATCAGGAATGGTTCTAATGGTAGTTGTCATAATGTATGAAGCAGCACCTTCTAGATGATCTATTGGGAGCTATCTACAAAGTGTGGAATCAATGGATCACTCCTCTACATTTGTGGCCATCATATTTTGCTGTGAAAACAACAGAGGCCGCAGGCCTTCCTCTATCTCTCAGTTTATGAAAGAACACATAGCAATCATACATTGTCAAGTTTAGTGAGTTATCAGAAAACAAAGAGTTTTCCTAAACTGTTCATTGTTGGCATCAGAACCCCAAGAGGTCTGACCTATTTCTTAGTTAAGCTGGAATTAATGGTAGCCTCGAAAATGCCACACGATATAGGGCCTCTAGAGAATGAATTGCTCCAACTAGGAGCAAATTAGTTGAAGGCAAACCTATACTTTTTAATGTGCAAAGAAGTAAAAAAAAAATAGAAAAACATAAAACATGAAATTGTAAGTTGTTCCTGAACTTGTCATATTTCTGAAGCCCAAAGCTACTTCTTTTGGTCCTCAAGAAACCAAACTGGATCTGAAGTTAGTCATGTGGTTGACCCTGGTATATACATTTTTTTAAAAGATTAAAGGCAGAGAGAACAGAGTGAATTCAATTGGGTCTATTCAAGAGGGCAGAAGACACCCAACCTTACTGTGAGGTTCATAAGAATCCTCACATTTGGCATTTGAAATGGGAAATCCTTTCTTCCTAAAATAATAGGAAGCCCAAGTCATAATTCCTTCTGGCATTTAACAATCTCAAATACTCTAAATGCCAATTCTACCACCCTCCTCCCAGTCCTAATCTGACCTAGTTCACCCCACCCTTCTATTGGTGTTAAAAAAACAACAACATGCACACCAGGACAACCTAAGTGAGTGACATCACATCTGGTTTGGATCTATATTGAAGGCTGGGTTCGGATTTAATTTCTATTTAATTTCTTGCATTAGCAGTGAAACAAATTGTTCCTTGGCCCCTAGGTGCAAAGGCTGGAATAAGGACAATACGGCCTTGCAACACTATTCTGAACTAACAGAAATTCAGAATTTTATACCAGTATGTCCATGGATCAACTGGGTGCCATGATCACTGTCTCTGAACACTTAAATATATGAGTCTCTAGTGTTCTGGATAAGATTTTAAGTCATGCGCTTGCTATCCTGAGGACTTGGTGTTGAACTGCTGAAATTTCTATTCCTTCCGTCACAATAAACCAGATGGTTGCAGTATTGCTTAACAGTACCACGTTGAGACGGATACAGTAGTCATCTATCTGCTAAATCTTGCAAATGATGCTTAAGCACGCTCTTTGGGGAAAAGGGGGCTGTGTCGGTGCACCCAAAGTCTCCCAGAGTTACAGTCTACCTTGTGTATCACGGGAGCCATCACTGAGAGCACCTGGGAAATTGAGTCACAAGAGTTCTCAAGGATGATGGCATCCCTTGATATCTGAGGAACTGAGTTGGTCCCTTTGATGTGATATCAGCCTTAGCTAGCCTCAGAGCTAATGCAGATTTCTGCCAAGGGAAGATGAGGCTGGTTATACTAGGGCAGCAAAATCTGCATATGGAGGAGGGTGCAGCAGATGAGTAGACTGTGCCCTGAGAACTGACTCAATTTTTTTTCCAGGTACCTACGAATGAAAACGTTGACATTTCTGAAAAGTCTGAATTTTAAAAACAAAACAAAACACTTCTTCTTGGAAATCATGTGCTATGTTGCCCTAAGGAACACCAGCACATGCCTTTTCCCATTTCATTTATGGAAAAAGAAAGATCAGCATTGGTTGATGGTATGGATAACCCTTTCTTTTCCCTCCACAAGGACTGGTGATCTGAGCAATTCGCTACTGCTATGTGACATTTAAATGATGGTGGGGGGAGAATGTACTAGTGGCCCTAAGCAAGTGCTTGATATACCAGCGTGAGTACTAAAGTATTTCACATTTTTTCCTACCTCTCTGCATTGTAAATGATGGCCTGACAAAGATGAATGCTTGATTCATGGCTATGCTCTCTCCCATGCCACGTAGGAAAAGAAGACCATGAGCCATTCCTTCCCACGGGGTTAACCGCTGAGATGAAAGGGGAGAAAAATCTGTGGGGCAGGCAGGAATCACACAGTTTGGACCATGGTGCCGTGGGAAGGACAGTGTGACAACAAGGCCCCTGGATGAGGCCCAGAATACCTGAATATTCTGGGTGGTACCCTGGTGCCCAGCAAATGAGTAAAAATGGATGAAGAGATGGATGCCGAACAACAAACTTAGATTTGCTGACCCAATAAAGTTGTTTTTATCTATAGGTAGCTGGAACATGTGCTGTTATATCCACTGCATGTACAATTTTTAAATTATTATTATATTATTATTAATATTTTTTTGCTTTAATTTACAACCCAAGAGTGCCCCCGATGGAGGAGGCCAGTACTATACCAAGAACCACACAACAAATTATAATCATTATTTTCTTCTACATTACCCAAGAAAATCCACGGAGCAAGACAGAGAAAGAGAACAGAAGGGAAGCGCGGGGTGGGGGGGGGGGGGGGGGAGACAGAGAGAGAGAAAGACAAAGGGAAAAAAAGACAAATATTAGTAATGCTTGGAATAAAATCTATGAAGATTGACCACCAAAAGGTGTTTCATCATGTTATTAAGACAGACTCACCTTTGAAACCTAGAAGTTGGCACATAAAAGTAACCTGGTAAACCATAGGAAGAAAACATTTTCATTTGAGCAGATTCCTGCCTTGTATTTTATCAACTACAATCTGTGATTTAAAAATGGCTCAATAAGCAAACAACAGACCATTATCCTTCTCCTCACCTTGCTTTGCTTAGTGATCTAGTGGTCTGCAAAACAATTCATTCCCAAGATATAAAAAGTGAATATTTCTCCCTGTATATATTCCATACCAAGGTCCACTGGATTACCATCCAAGCCTCTTTGCTTTTCATATTCTTTTCCTTGTCCTTCTTTGATCTCCTTTCCTAAACTTTTTAGCCCTCCCATCTGTCTTACCTCCAGATCACCCCTTTGTAAGTAAGTGAAAGTACCGTCCCCTTTTCCAGCTATACAAATTCCCAAATTCCTTGCTTTTTCTGATAATCAGACCCACTTACTCACCCTTCGAGCCTTGCTCTGGTATTTTACAGCTTTCTTGGTGTCAGAGACGGCTCTTTCCACATAATCCACAGAGTGCTCAACATTGTACTCGATGCGGTCAATCATTTCACCCTGAAACAAGGGGGAAAGGAGTCAAGGGAGAACCGTTGTATGTTCATGTTTGGGTGGGTCAATATTCTCAACAAGTGTAGGAACAGCCTACCAAACTTTAGCTGAAGGACACTAAGGCTAAAGACCAGTGTGCAAACCATCCCTCAGCTTGACAGCCAACTGGGAATATGAATCTATGGAAGGCCAATTCTTTCTGTAAGGTTTTACTTATTCTTATTTATTCACTGAATAAATAAATGTAATTTGTAGTTCACGGTAGTTCAGAGATGTCCCAAAAGACAACCGGACTTTCTTGCTTTTTTTCTTTGAAAATGTTTTGCTTCTCATCCAAGAAGCTTCTTCAGCTCTGCCACCTTTGGGACTATCATGATCTGGATGATTGAGAATCTTCATAGATGTTGTAATTCATGATATTCATCCATTATGTTGGTGTAGTAGTTTTTTTCATACAAGTTACATTTGAGCCTAAAAGGACATAAGCATTTTGTGCTTGAACATCTCTCTCCTCCCCACCTTCTTTCCCTGCCTCCATCCATCCCTCTCTCTCTCTCTTCTCTCTCGCTTCTTTCTGTTTTCTCTCTCTCTCTCTCTCTTTCTTCTCAGCACTGACTAGTTGCAGACCTCCCCACTCATTAGAGAATTGAGGGAAGAGTTTCTAGCATGTGTGGTGGGGGGGTGGGGGGAGAGAATGAGGAACATTGCTTTCAGGAAGGCTTGAATTCTGAGAAGTGAAGAGATGTTGATGATTATGACTCCAAGCCACAATCCCACAGTGAAATTTTTCTGCACTGGTTTCAGCACATTTTCATTCTTTGTCTCATCACATGTGTGAGGTATCTGCAAATGAATGTTTTCTGGATAATTCTTCAAAATCTTCCAATCTAATCCCTGTCACTCTGCCCATTAGAGGCAATTTATTCTGTACTCATCTATAATGCTTACTCCTCACTAAGCCCTCTGTGCGTGTTTTTGGAGTTCTACAAACTGATGAATGCTTTCCAAACCTGCTAATAACAGCCCTTGCATTAGATAATAAAAGTTTAGACACAAAAGGATCAGTAATTTTTGCATACTGCCCCTGCTTAGAAGTGGCCATAGAAAAATGGGTGGTCAGTGCATCAATCCCTCATGTATAGATTTGAAATACAGGCAGTCCTCAACTTACCATTTATTTAGCAATCATTCAAAGTTATAACAGCACTGAAAAAAGTGGTTTATGACTGTTTTTCACACTTACAACTGTTGCAGTATCCCTGAGGTCACGTGATCAAAATTACTGTGCTTGGCGATTGGCATATATTTATGATATTTGCACTGTCCCTGGGTCTTATAATCACCATTTATAACCTTCCCCTCAGCTTCAGACAATCAAAATCAGATTTGCTTGAAGATTGCATAATTGTTTAAAACAACTGCAGTGATTCACTTGACAACTGTGGCAAAAAATGCCATAAAATGAGGCACACCCCAAATAACAACTGTCTTATTTAGCAATAAGAACTTTGGGCTAAATTATGATCATGTTGAGGACTACCTGTATGTCCTACACTCCTGGAATAGCTTAGCAAAAACAAACAATTTAAAATATGAGAATGAATTAGTTTACAAAGAGACAAAATTAAATAAAATAATAGCACAGGAGAAGAAAGAATCCAAATCAATAATATTTTAAAAGCGTTAAAATGATTTTTAAGATGTAGTACTTAAAGAGCTCATTAACATAAACTAATTTTCAAAGTTAATATTATGTAAAATTAAAGAACCTTGGCTCTTTAAAACATAAAAATGTAAAGATTATCATTTTGACTTTTATCTTGGTGGCAAACAAAAGTCACTGGTGGGTCTCACTAATGATTAAAACTGATCCACCATTTGCCAACACCTGACTTCCAAGAAGGGGCATTAGCCTTAGAAACAGATCTCAGTGCAATGAAGGAGATACCTGGCTACAATATTATGCAGGATTTTAAAGGAATAGCCTGGCATTAGGAGACCTGTAGAGAACAAAGAATTATTGGAGTGTTTCTGAAATTATTTGGTCTAATCTCTTGTTCTGCCCCCTCTTCCCCAGTTTCCACCAATCTTTGAACAAACTGAGAAGTCCAGGTGATCTTGAAAGATAACCTGACATTGCCATCCAGCTCTTTCTACCCTTCCGTACCTGACTCTCGACCAACATAGCCATGTCCACAAACATGTCATGAAGCTCCCGAATGCTGGTTTCCAGTTTGATGATCTCGTTATGCCGGGTTTCAATCTCGTTCAGGGCCTGTTTCGTCATCTGTGAGTCCATTTTGATCTGGAAAAAAACACACACACCATGTGGGGCATGATTAGAAGACAGGAGAGAATCTAGCAGTGATTATCAATCCAACAATTGCTCCTACCTACTATATCTGTCATTCCTTTGGTTAGTAATTTGGAACATAGAAAGTGGACATGGACACCAATATGGAGGGAGGGAGGGAGGGAGGGAGGACAGAAGGAAGGAAGGAAGGAAGGAAGGAAGGAAGGAAGGAAGGAAGGAAGAAGATGATAGGATATTTCTGTCCTGCTCTCTTCCCCCTCCCACCCCACTCCAGATCTCCCTCGCTTCCTTGGATTCTGGCAACTGGATTCCAATCACCAAATCAGTTGGAGAACATGGTAAAAAAAATATTTCTTTCCATCCCTCAAACACTAAAACCAGGAATCATCCAAGGGGAATGAGTGAACCGAACTGACAAGAGAAAGTACTTCTTGCACAGCATGTAACTTGCCTGTGGGAATAATTGCCACAAGATGTGGTGAAGGTCGCAAATTTGGGAGGCTTTCAAAGAAGACTGGGTAAGCTCATGGGGGAAAGGTCAGTCAAGGGCTCTTGGTCTTGGAGATTTAACACTAGCCCTGTATTAGGGACACAATGGCTCCAAATTGCAGGAGGAGGAGAATGGGACAGGACAAGTCTCCATCTCCTGATTGTAAGGACCTGTGGTTGGTTAACAGAAGAAACAAAATACTGGCGTATGATGGGCCTTAACCTGATCCAGTAGAGCTATTCTTACATCCTTATTCATAGTGTCTACAAATTCTTTGAGATCTTGCTATTGCAGCCACCTTTCTACCATGGGAGATCCATCTTTGAAATGCTCAGCAACTCCACATACTTTCCAGGCTACATTCTACCTGTTCTACTAGCCAACTGAGGCCCCAGATACATACATCGTCAGTGAAAATCGCCAACTTTCCACTCTCTAGCATGTCTTCTAACTCTTCATTGGTTGTTGTCCTGCCAGCTACAAGAAGGAAAAACAGAGCCATGAGGAACAACTGTATGGTGTGATATAACACTGTCTCATAGGATCCAGCTTGCTTTTGGACTAATTCTCAAACTGCCTTGCCTCCCCCTCTGGTTAAGGAAAAATGCCTGAATTTGTCTTTCATTCAGCTTGTTTCTAAGATGTTTAAAACCATCACTTCTAAAAAGGAGCTTCCCATCAATGGCTATACAAGGGGAAACTATGTTGCTGTGAATTGGCGTAGGAACCAGCCCTCATTTGGACTACCTTCTCATAATTTGTTCTGCCTGATTCAGAAGATTTTGCGGAAGGGGCTCACTTTAGGTCCCCTCACCTAGATTCCCCAAACTGCAAGGCTTGGGAGGAGGCATTTTCAAATGCTATCCACCTTCTTTGGAGCAGCATTCCTTCTGAGCTCTAGATGGCTTCTAATCTGCTGGGTTTCAAAAGACCATCAATATTGCAAACATTTCATTATCTGACAAGGTAACATCATCAGTGCTAGTCAGTGTAGAGTTTGATTCCTGTTTATGTTTATTTTTATGTATTTCTATTTCATGTTTCTAAACTGCCTAATCTCCCTCAAAGAGGGCCTCACTCGCCTACATACTCACACTGATGATGTGACATAGCTGGGTAATGAAACGTCTGCAAGAAAACAACCAAGCTCAGAGAGGACCAAGGACCCTACAGTTCAACTCTGAGCTGCCAATATTCTCTTCTGTAGATTCCAGACTGCAGTTATTTATGTGCTTGCTTGTTTGTTTGTGTCAGAAGCAGAAATATTCATGAGCAGCTCTCATCTTTCTTACAACTAATGTCACAAAGATTTCCCCCTCCCCTTCCAACCTGGATTATCCATCTCTTCTGGGGGAAAGCATTTAATAGTTACCATCTAAGAAGAAAGCGAGGGATGTGTTTGTTTTTTTAAAGGCACTGCATTAGGCACCCCCCCCCCCTTTTTAAGCCAAACATTTAGAAAGGTAAACAGACATACTTATCTCCAGCTGTCTCTGGATACGATCTTTGCATCGATCTCGATATTTAGACTGAGTTGTGTTGTATTCTGTCATCACCTCCACAAATTTACGAGATAGAGTGGAATGCTAGGGAAGAAAATGAGGAGATGGTTACAGAGGCAAAGCAGAGAGAGAGAGAGAGAGAGATAGGAGAGAGCGATATGATGGATGGATGGATAAATAGATTGATAGCTGGAGTGATAGCTGGCTGGATAGCTAGATAGACAGAGACAGATAGAGTTAGAGATAAAGATAGGAATTAGAGATAAAGATAGATAGGCAGATAGAGATAGAGATGTGTGTGTGTATAGAGACAGACAGACAGACATAGAAAGACACACAGACAGACAGACAGACAAAACTTTCACTTATTTATAATTCTTTTTTCAATCTCTAGGCCTCATTTTGCCTATTTGCAAAAGTGGATGGATGGATGTAGAGAGATAGAAAGATATAACCCTGCTGAAGGTTAAAAAAAACCTTCTGTCTCATCCTCTGTTTCAAGGAAGATTTGATTCCATTGAAACTTAAAGGAAGGGAAAATGGGGTTTATATTGTGTATCTTTTTGAGTCAAATTCTATGCCCCAAAGTATGATTAAGGTGTAAATCAGTATTTTTTATGATCAGATTTTTTAAAAAAATCTTAATTTGAAAACCTGTTGCATCTATAGTGTTTAAGGGAGGAGAGGGGATAGGGCCAAAGCATGGAAATTGATCTTAGCTAAGCAAAGGAAATGATTACAAAAACAACCCAAACAAACCAAAACAAAACTCACATATAGATTTAGTAGTTTCAAGGAAAAAGAAGAAGAAGATTTCTACTAGGAAAAAAAAAACCATCCAGAAAGTCAGGGGGGAAAGAGAAGGAGAAAGACCCCATGGATGGGATTACAGTTTCAATTTTAAAAGTGTTAAGATATTTAATTTAATAGCTGGAACAGTAAAGTATATTCTGTAATGGGCCACAACACACAGTTGTAGTTGATTGATAGAGAGTGTGGGCGCCTGCATGAGGCAATCTATGTTATGATTGGTTGTTGGGTGAAAAAAGGGAGTTTCCCTTTTTCCCGCCTTTTTTCTTCCGGTGTGCTCTGCATGCTGTATGCATCATGTGATTTACTTCATGATTTACCTCATGATCTTAGTCTGTACCCGACCACCTTGTCTGCTGTAAATATAGGTGCTAAATATATGTATTTATATAAAGCTACAAGTTTGGGTCAGCGTCTCTGACTTCATTTGGATGCCAGCTGCGCAAATTCCCTGACATAAAGAGATTGGCTAGAACAGCTGATTAGGAGCTGTTGTTGCCGAGGATCTTAATAACATGACTGCAGTTTTTAATTATTAATAATGCAGCTGATAAACTGTATCGTAACTTGGGATTCGTATGTGCGTTGCTGAAAAAAATAAAACATTGTTATTCTTTCTCATATTGTAGGCAGCTGTTGTTTTAGATAAGACAGTCTCTTAAGTGTGGAACAGCACTGTGCACCTTTGAAGAATATGCCCTGGGACCATTACTCAAAATCAAGGAAATTTAGAATAGTAAATAATCAGATGGAAAAATATATAAAGCTTTATTGACTGAGAAAAGTCATTTGCCAGGGGCAAATAATCAGGAGCATTTATTGAGTTCAATCCACAGAAGAGTTTATCACTGCTATCTATACACGAGAGTCTGGTCAACTAAAGGTCAAAATTAAATTGGCACTAGAATTCACAGGGATCTGTCTCTTGTGACAGCGCAACGACTCCAAACTAATGACATTTTTAACTCCGCTTTCTAGCTCAACCTGCTCTTCTCCTACATCAGTGTTTCCCAAAGTGTGGTACGCGTACCCCCAGGGGTACGGAAAGAGTTTGGTGGGGGTACGCGTTGCACCAGAGTTTGGTGGGGATCACGTGGGAATATCCACTGCACTGTGCTTAGCTGCGCCCACAAAACAAGGAAAGAAATAGGCGCGTATCGCAGTTTTTACATGGGAACTGGGGCCATCGTACATCGTATCGCAACTCATTATGGCGGGAACTTCTGCGCATCCTTCGCGCAGCTTGGGTTCGGCCATTTTTAAACTGCGGGAACATTAACAGTTGACGTTGAGCCACAGAGCTGTTTAAACGTCAGAGAATTGCAGTGTTATCTAAGTGTTTCCCAAAGTGTGGTACGCGTACCCCCAGGGGTACCATATGTTTTTTATGAGGGGTACTCAGCGTTACGAAAATTATAGAAGGGGTACACATATGTCAAAAGTTTGGGAAACACTGTCCTACATCATCAGCTCAAAGAATTAATTTTGGCTGCTTACTGGATGGCAGCTGTAATTGTGGTCATGAGTTGAATAAAGAAAAGAGATGGCAAAGGAGTGTCACATCTGCAATATAAATCTTGCCTTTCTAACATAGGATACCCAACTTATGTTGGCTTGAGGACCACACTGGCCTTCACCCAGCATGTCAAGAGCCATGCTAGAAGGCTAGCTCTGCATTTGGTCCTGATTAAAGGATTGTAAAAAGTTAGGGAACCTCTTTTTTATAATACGGGTGTCCTTGTGGATTTTAACTCCCAAAATTCCCAAGCCAGCATGGCTAACTGGGGAATTCTGGGAGTTGAAGTCCACAGATCTTAAAAGTTATTAAGGATGGAGATCCCTGCTTTATACTATAACTCCGTTGCCTCTATTCTGCAATCACTACCTCATTTCAATCTTTTTAAAAAGAACTCTGCCCAATTTGGAAGTTGTTTCTGTTAGGTTCAGCTTGTAGCTTACTCCTAACCTGTTGGTCAGGCAATATATCTGTTTTTTTAAGAAACAACTGAGCCATGTAATCAGGGTTTGCTGAACCCTGTAATTAGGCTACAGTGCATAAATAAGCAGCGCAGAGAAGCATTCTTTCTTCCTGATTGTTCTTTGTTCCTGTTGCTTCCTGCGTCTTTCTGCTGATTGGTGTTAGACTGAATTGTTATATGGTACTGTATACCAAGAGTTACTAAAGTCTGTTTGCTTTGGTAAGGGAAGATACTTACTGGACTGATATTACTGTTTATGACCTTGGACTGTTTTACCTACACCGAGACTGCTTATTATCTTGTATATAAAGTATTTTTCTCACACGAGCTGCACGTTTATCTCCTTCCCTGTGTGTTTCTGCTCTGCTTGTTGCACAAGCAACAAATACTTTTTACACACACCCTAACAGTTTCAAAAGAAAAATAAGAGCGTACATAATTGCTAAATTCCAATTAAGAAACTAGCCCAGGCAAGATTATGGAAAAAGCAAAAGAACATTGGAAAATGAAGAAAACAACACAAGAAGTAGCTATCGGAGGAGATCCAAGACAGAGTACCTGTGTTTTCCGGATTCTCAAGTCAGCGGAGGATCGGTTCTGCACTTCTTCCTGCTCAATTCCCTGCTCAATCGCTGGAGAAAGAAAATAGATGAGGAATCAGAGTTGTAGTACAGAAATTAAATATCAGTGAGTTAGTGCAACCAACATCTGAATTGTTGCCCTTAATGATGAGCTGGTGAGCTACAGATAAAGTCTTTCAGGCTAGTTATCAGCCCCACTAATAGAAAGGGGCTGCAATAGTATGTGGGAAAAACCTTGTGAAACCGTGGGAAGAGATGCTACCTAGAGAATAGTCAGGTAACATAGATTGTAGCTGAAAAATGGACAGATTTTGTTAATAGATTTTGTGTATAATTTTACAATGTAGTACAATTAGTTTATCTGGTTGTTTTCTGTCTGATCTACCTGGTAAGGCTGACATCAATTAGCAAGTCTGAAAGTACAATTCTCCCATGATCTCCTTTACAGCCTGAAAAACTAGGGAAGGTTTCTTTTTCTTGCCCTACCCATTTTACAGCTGCCAGCTATGCTGTCTCTTATCTGACCATTTCCTAGGCAGCATCTCATTCCCCTGTCTCCCAAGGTCTTTTCCACCTAGCACTACACCATGAAATCAACTCCATTAGGATGTCTAAAACTACTTTTTATTGAGATTGCTAGAATAACAGAACCTTGCAAATCTGATTGTATTGCACCTCCTCTTTATAGTTCATTGAATTAGAGCAGTGTCTTGTCTGAGTTACTTCTGAATGTTATCTGGATGTTCTAAATCTGAAAAGGCTTTGCCCTGCTTTGCTTAGGTAATGGAGTTGGAATATCTCTGTCAAGATCATCTTCCTTACTGTGCACACTAGGACATCCTCCCGCAGTTTAGGGTGTTTCCATCTATCTGATCCCTTCATAAACAAAGCCATGAAAGTTTCTAGGTCAAGACAGGCACAAAAAATCAGAACCATAGTTAAGTTCCAGTTAAGAAAATTTATTTCTCAAGCTTATAAACAAAAATCTAATCAACTAACGCTCAGCACTAAATTAGCATTAGATAAGAATCAATGGAATTCAAGGGTGACAGCTAGACTTTAAGTATTCGTGGACACATAAGGATTATAGGCTGCATCCTCTCTTGACTCCGCCTCTGCCTCTTCTTCTCCTACATTACCTGAGAATCAATCATCCTTTGCTGTGATAATATAACTGAAGCTTTGCAAACTATCTTAGGTTTGTAACTCGAGAGTCAGTGTGTTGTAGCGATTACGATTAATTTAAAATTTATTAAATAATTCATTAAACTTGCTATTAAATTTGCCTTAAACTTTGTTCTCAATGATGCTCTCAACCATCAAAGAAATTACAACCAAATCATTAAAACATGAAATGTAAAAATAAAAGATGCCAAGCATAATGAAGTGCAGGATCTTACACTCCCTTGCCAAAGGCCTGGATGAAAGATGCTAGACTATAAAAATCCACATTCAAATCCAAATAAGCTTTGAACTGACATTGGACCAGTCATCACCTTTCAGAACAATCTTCCACAATTGTTGTGGGAATAAAAATCAGAGGAGGGAGTATGACATATGTTATCCTGAGTTCTTGGAGGAAAAGCAATATAGAAACATAACAAACTCATTCACTGGACAAGTATGTGTGTGAGAGAAAGTAAAATGTGTACAGGTAGTACTTTGATTACAATGGCAATTGGGACTGGAATTTTCATCACTAAGTGAAGCGGTTGTAAAACATATCATATGCCCACTTAATTTAGCGACAACAATCCCAACAGTCCTATTGCTGTCATAACCTCAGGACTGCATAAGTAATTAACCAAGGACTTCCTGGGAGCATGACATGGGAAGAGATAGGTGTCTCAGACAAGCAGGCTAGCAGAAAATTATAGTGAGTATGGAGGTGACATGGGCAGGTGTGTGGATGCTGCAGGCAGGTGCTATGGGGCACAGGGGGGTGAGTGGTTGCTGTAGATGCCATAGGCAGGTGCAGATGGGTACATGGTACTGTGGGCAGATGCTATGAAGTGTGGGCAGGTATGCAGGTGCCACCAGGAAGCTCTATGGTGCAAGGTGAGTGAGTACGAGAAGGTTGAATTCAACTCCTTGTGACTTTACTAACAGATCAGTATAGTTGTCTTTGAAATAATTCAAGATAAGAGTAAAAGTGGCCAAATTTAAAAGGCAATTTTAAGAATCAACATGATGCTGTTAAGTCATGCACTTCACTGAAAGCCCAATAAAGATACATTTTATTCTAACAAAAAGAAAACAAGACATAAAGCTGCAACTTCAGCTCTTACCTTTTAACTTGGAGCGCACCTTGTTAGCCGTCTTCTTGATGTCAGCTGTGAGGTCCTCCAATTCCTGCTTAGTTTCTGCAAGATGAATAACAATAAGAGGCACTGAAGCTTAAAAACAAAAGAAAACTATGCTGAGTCAGGTCAAGAAGACATCTAATCCAGCATTCTGTGTTCCACAGTGGTCAATCAGCTGCTACAGAGAGGTATCCCCTCTTTCCTTGTGACTCCCCAAAATTTGGTATTTAAGATATGCTGTCTATGATGCTGGAGGTAATAAGCAGGCATCAAGACAAGTACTCTCTAAAATAGTCTCCTTTTAAAAGCACCTACATTGGTAGCCATCACTATACTTGATGGCAGAGAACCTCAGTTTAAGCATAGGTAGTCCTTGGCTAATGATGGTAATTGGGACCAGAATTTCCACTGCTTAATGCACTCATAAAGTCCAAATTCATGTGACTGCATCATTATGTAAAAGCAATCCTGACAGTCCCTACTGCTTGTTAAGTAAGGTTTGCAGGTTGTTAAATGAGGACCTCCTAGCAGCTTTCTGCCAGATTCCAATAACCAAAGTCAATGAGAAAGTTGGCAGGAAGGCGCAAGTTCCAGGCAACTCACAAGCAGACAGACAGGCAGATAAGTGGAGGGAGAGCACAGGGGTGTGCAAGGGGCTGTTGCAACAAAGGGCAAGGCTTGAGGCGGGTGGGGGGGTAGACTTACCAGAGCGATTTGCAATCTTCCTGCTGGCTTCCCCATTGCTTTGCTTGTGGGAAGCTGGCAGTGAAGGTCACAAATATTGGTCATGTGACCGTTGAACTCTGTAACCATCTTAAGTGTGAGCTGGGTGACAAGCAACTGGATCATGATTGTGTGACTGCTGGAGTGCTAGCACAGCCAGAACTTTGAGGAGAATGTGTGATTGTTAACTGAGGACTAATAAAGGAGAATATTTGTAGCTCAGGGTTGAAATGAGAGATCCTTGGTGCTCTCTGAGTTTGCTTGTTTTCTTGCAGATGTTTCATTACCCTAACTAGGTAACTTCATCAGGACCAGTACTGATGATGTTACCTAGTTAGGGTAATGAAATGTCTTCAAGAAAATAGGCAAGCTCAGAGAACACCAAGGATCTCTCATTTCAACCCTAAACTACAAATAATCTCCTTTATTAGTCCTTAGGTCTGCCCTTTTACAGATTCTAAATCTCCAGTCTGAAGCTTCTATGAGTGACACCATTGCTAGCCTTGTGAGAAAGGGAGAAAAAGCTTTTCCCACCCCTCATATTCTGCATGATGTGATACTCCTCCATCATGTCTCACCTTATCCACTGCCTACGTTCCGAACATTGCTGTCTTTCCTTGAACAGGAGCTGTTCTAGCTCTCTAACTTCACCTATTGTCTTTTGCGGCCACATTTCCAGCAATTTGGATAGATGGTTGAAATGATGGCCTTACACATGCAGTCCCTACCTCCAACCTCCCACAGGATATGGTGAGAGAGCACTGGGCATCTCCAGTGTTTATGTATGAGTGGCTGAGGATGTGTATGCAAGGGCCTCTAAAGAAGCTTTTACTCACTCTCATCTGGGTTGGGGGCAGCTAAGATGGCACTGTGCTGTTTCTTCACCAGCTCCACATCCTCTGAGAGCTTTTCAATGCAGCCACGAATTTCCTCTACCTGGACAAGAAACACAGAAGCATGCATCAATTCTCACTCATATGGTTTGCTTTAAATCTCAGGAATTAGGGTAGACGGAGGTTTTCAGAGTTGCCACCAGAGTTGTAAGTGACCAGTTCCCTTGGGGTTTTTAAGAATCAGAGCCTGGGTTCATACTATTCAGCAGTAGCTGATTCAATAAACATCTGCTTGAATTCACACAGGAGCCAAAGACAGAAATAATGAGATAGCTGCAGCTGCAAAATACCGTAAGATAAAACCAAATAGACTACAGGAAGTACTTGACTTATGACCACAATTGTGGGACCAGAAGAAATTTCATTGGGAACCAAGGCAGTGGTTAAGTGAGTCATGCCCAATTTTAGAACCTTTTTTGCCACCGTTGTTACAGTAAGTGAATCATGGTTGTTAAGCAAATTCTGCTTTCACCACTGACTTCGCTTATCAGAAACCAACTGGGAAGGTCACAGATGGCCATTATAATACCCCGGGATGCTGAAAGCCTTGTAAATACATGTTGGTTGCCAAATACTCGACTTTTGATCACATGACGTTGGGAATGCTGTAAAGGTCATATGTACAAAGACCGGTCATAAGTCACTTTTTCAGCACCCTTCTAACATTGAACAATCACTAAATGAATGACTGTTAACTCAAGGATTATCTGTACATTATGGCATGAAGTAGGGTGTGAATCCCTACTTCAGAGAGTTATCCAAGACTTGAAGCTGACTGCAGAGTCAGGAAATGAAAAGACTAAGACAGGCCCAGTCCATCCAACTGCAGCTATTTATTGCAGCCTTCTCAACCCTGAGTTAGCCATGTTGGCTAGGAATTTGAAAAACTGAAGTCCCAGTACCTCTAAAACAGCAGCCCCCAACCTTTTGGGCATCAGGGACCGGTTCCGTGAAGAGAGGTTTTTCTGCGGACCAGAGGGGGTGGGGTTTCATGTGCTGCCTGCATCCTACAGATGGGGTTTCATTTATTTGCCTGGCCTGATTTCTGGCATGCTGCAGACTGAGATCCATGGGCCGGCGGGGGTGGGGTGGGGGGGAGGTTGGGGACCCTTGCTTTAAAGGTGTTAGGCTGGGGTGATATCTTGTCTCCCTTCCTCTGCAGCAGATCCCACTATTGCAAGTTATCTCCCTGCTTCCTTCAGATGATTCCTGATGAATCCCTGATTCCTTCCACCAATAACAAGATTTCATGATCACCTCCAATAGGTAAGAAAGGATGAAATTGCAGAAAAGTGCTGCTTCTTTGCTCATAAGCAGTCATGCAGGAAACACAACCAGGATATATTTCTTTTATAGGCAACTAGCTGGATACCCGTGCTTCACTACTTGATGATCTGTCCCCGTACCCACACATACACAAACACAGCCAGTCGAGGGTTAAGGAAACACTTTGGAACGCACCCAGGGTCTTATCTCCCACTTGGCAGCGATAGACACACCGTCTGCCAAGTGACTTTATTTTCAAAGTAAAACAGAGAGATAAATACTCAAGAGTCCAAATGTCCGACACTTTAAATCTTTCTCTCAGCAGTTCCGGACGAGGCTTTAGTGACTATCCAGGGTTTGCTTTGTTCGTCACAAGGATCCTTGATCACTACCCTCTATTATATAGTCTCTGGGGTGTGGTCCAGTGACTCATTTCTAATCCCTAGCACGCCTCCTAAGCTGCTGCAAACGTTTATCACGCCTTCGGAGGCGTGCGTCCAGGAATGATGTTTCTTCATCACTCTGATTCGAATCAGCTGTCTCCTCTCCCTCGGCCGGCACTTGAGACAATGCCAGAGGGGAGGGGCCTGGAGAGGGAGGCCTGGCTGACTCCTCTTCCTCATGCTCGGGCTTTCTTCCTCCGATGGGACAGGCTCAGAGGGCGGGGCCACAACACTTATGACCATTTTTCACACTTACGACCATTGTAGCATCCCATAGTCTTGACAGACTCTCATTGTCATCATCACCAACGAAGTTTATCTGGAGAAACGAAGGCTGCTGCTGAGGCACCACCATAATACTCCCTATCCTGTGGTAGACCTGCCTCTGCACTTTGGATGTTGGCATAAAATTTCCCTCCTTCATCTCTCTGGCTCCAAAAGACGTCATTCTGAAGCATCCGTTGTACTTCCAGGCAGCAGAAAGACAGTCTTTTCCCTTTAACTGGTGTTACAGTAGAAAGAACAGATTCGTCTGAACTGAGGAGGTCAGGGTAAGAAGTGAGTTGGGGCTGGGACACTATGCAGGAGAAATTCGGTTCACAGTCTGTTGGCTCAGTGGTGGTCGGTGATTGAAACACATAAGGGAATATCTCTCCCACCGCCTTGAGTCCCGAAGCAGTTCCATAGGTGGAAGGCGTAGACATTTTGGTCAGGTAGCGACATTTAGTACTGTAAAGAGCCCCAGAGCTCCCCTGAGTGAAGGAGTGGAACGTCTGCCAGTTTGAACGGAGGGAACGGAATGTGGGGCAAGTGGCAGTTGGAACTTTTCAGGTGGGGAGGGGGAGTAGAACGTCTAACTCCTCAGCATCAGAGCATATTAATATATTGTCTATGAATATACTGTATATGAAATACTAATGATCTGATGGTCATTTCAAAAAATTCTTTCTTAGCGAACACCTAGAATCCAAGAGGAACGTCCATGCCAAATTTCAAGTTTGTAGGCTTGGATATTTCGTGATGAGTGAGTGGATTCCGCTTTTACATATATAGATTATTTAAAAATAGTTGCTCAGGTATCATTTTTATCCACAGAGGACGTTCCAATGCCCAGACAAAGAAACTACAGTTAGTCCTCGATTGACAACAGTTCATTTAATGGCCGTTTGAAGTTACACCGGCACTGGAAAAAGTGACTTATGACCATCCCAAAGGCACTTTTTCAAGAGGCAACAGGACTTTCTGATTTTTTTTTGAAGACATTTCGCTTCTCATCCAAGAAGCTTTTTCAACTCTCTCTCAGAGAAAAGTCTGCAAGGAAAAACCAGAAAGTCCAGCTGCCTCTTGAAAAGAACCTTTGGGACAACCATGACCTGGATGACTGAGATTCTCCAGTGACCTTTAGCAATGACTTATGACCTCTTTTCACACTTACGACTATTGCAACATCCCCATGGTTACTCGATCAAAATTTGTACACTTGGCAACTGTCATGTATTTATGGGTGTCCCGGGCTCATGTGATTCACCATTGCGACCTTCGGACAAGCAAAGTCAATGGGGAAGCCAGATTTACAACCGTGTTATTAATTTAATAACTGCAGTGATTCACTTAGTCAATGTGGCAAGAAAGATTGTAAAATAGGGTAAAATTCACTTAACAACTGTTTCGCTTAGCAATAGAAATTTTAGGCTCAGTTGGGGTCGATAAGTCGAGTCTGCATTACTATTAGTCTTCTCATCGTTCCTATCACCCATCTCCTCCCACTTATGACTGTATGATTGTAACTTTGTTGCTGGTATCCTTACGATTTATATTGATTGTTTCCTAGTATGATTCGATTGCTTATTTGTTCCCTATTACTATCATTAAGTGTTGTATCTTATGATTCTTGACTAATGTATCTTGTCTTTTTATATACATTGAGAGCATATGCACCAAAGACAAATTCCTTGTGTATCCAATCACACTTGGCCAATAAAGAATTCTATTCTATTCTATTCTATAGTTGTGGAGGCTGTTCAGATCATTTGTAGAAACACACACACATGCACACACAATCCCTTCCTTGGTTTAGTGGAAGAGATGAGAGTGAAGGAGTGTGTGTAATTCCCCCCAGTGCATGCTGGGAATGCAAGGGCTTTTTTACTACCTAAGGAGCTCTCCTTAAGCTGAGTGAGCCATCTGCCTTGGGACCAGAAACCCTGTGCCTCCTTCAGAAGAACAGTGGGCAGCAGGACCCTGGGGAAACCAAAAACAGGAAGGCTGAAGCAAGCTGGCTGCTGATGTCATCAAAAGGCGACATCCGGTCGAGGGAAGCAGATATACATTTACAATTGGAATTATTAAAAGTAGATTCTAGGACATGGCTCTTATCCTAAGTGTGATCATAAATACATACTGGGAGGAAGGTTTATTGGTGAAAGATGCTCAGTGTGGGTGCCGCAAGGATGTGAACTCCAGTTCAATAGGGGGCTTTTATTAGGAAAACCAGTAAAATGGGGAGAAAGGAGTGTTTTCTATTCTTCCACATCAAGATCAGATTAAAAAGAGAACTTTTCCATGAGAGGGTTGTGTTCCTGAGCATCTCTGTGGAAACATATGAACAAAATATTTAAGCACAGGTAGTCCTCGACTTACAACAGTTCGTTTAGTGACCATTCAAAGTTACAATAGCACTGAAAAAAGTGAATTGTGGGCATTTTTCACTCATGCGACCATTGCGGCATCCCCACGATCACGCAATCCAATTTTAGATTATTGACAACTGACTCATATTTATGACGGTTGCAGTGTCCCAGAGTCATGTGCTCAACTTTTAGGACCCTATGATAAACAAAGTCAGTGGGGAAGCCAGATTCACTTAACAATTGTGTTACTAGCTTAACAACTGCAGTGATACACTCACCCACTGTGGCAAGAAAGGTTGTAAAAGGTTGCAAAATTCACTTAACAAATGTCTCGCTTAGCAACAGAAATTTTGGGCTCAATTGTGGTTGTAACTCAAGGATTACCTGTATTTCTCTTTATTACATTTGGAAAGAGACGGGACTATTGAACTGGGAAAGGGGTTATTGTGAAGGTTGCATTCCCTTGCAAATAATATTCTGGTAACATGGATCCATATCAGGGGTGAAATCTACTTACCTTCCTTACCAGTTCGGAAGCGCATGCGCCACACGTGCGCAGAAGGTAAAAAACACATTACTTCCTGGTTAAAACCAGGAAGTAATGACACCCAGGCGGGTGGGTGGAGCTTTGCTCTGCCATCGCTACTGGATCACCGAACCACCGGCCAAGATCATTACCGGATCGGGCAATCCAGTCCGATCCGGGAGCATTCCACCCCTGATCCATATCCATTATTAACTTCCCCCTTCCCATTTATCACAGTCCATCCTTTCATCCATACAATTCTCTTCATATTTAAAGAAACCCAGAAACAAAACTAGAAGCTGTAAACTTAAAGGTGATTTTTCCAAAAGGCTAATGGACTTTGTTTTTTTCCCTTTCGCTTCTCATCCAAGAAGCTTCTTCAGTTCTGACTGAATGGTGGAGGATGGAAAAATTTACTGCAAGGAATATAAATCCTTCCATCCTCCACCATTCAGTCAGAACTGGAGAAGCTTCTTGGATAAGAAGCGAAACATCTCCAAAGAAAAACAAAGTCCAATTGCCTTTTGAAAAAGCCCCTTTGGGACCTTCAAATTATTGAAATGCTCAACATGGTTTATTCTGTTAGAGAGCAGCAGTAACGTTAACTCATCACTAGAGGGTAGTGTGAGGCACAGTGACTTGAACCATGTTTGTGAGCCGATTCTAGGAAGCCCTGTCCAAGGTCCTGAAATATTCAGCCTCACTCATAGATCGCACAGCATTCTTTCACCAATACCTTTCAACTGAATCATCACATCAGCACCGACAGGGGCTTCCTTCCATGGTGTATTTGACACATTACTTTAGTGGATCCAATCAGCATTTGACACCTTAACTTAACATGAGCAACGTATGAGATTAAGAGGCCTATTTGCCTAAATCCAGGTCAACAACCCGCTGCTCCTATGATGTAATTTCAAAGAGCAAAATTTCTCCAGACTGTAAGACTGCAGAACATAATTACTGATGTCCTTTGGGAAGAGGACCAGACATGCAAACAACAATTTCACAATTCCTATCCCTGCATTTCTCCATCCCCAGCAGCTGTACATTATGGAGGCTAAAATATGCTCTTGTATATTAAATACCTGCCATTTGAGGACAGATTGGCTTAATGCGGATGAGAGAAAGGTGTCTTGAGAAATGAAAGAAATGCAGGCAGGATTCAGATTCTCTCACCTATAATTCCCCCCATTTATTTTCCCATCTTTAAAATTGACTCTCCATCAGTATGGGAGGTTTTTTTAATTAAAAAAAATGTCAATGTTCATCTGGATTTAAAGCCACAGATTGTTCCCATCCAACAAAAATGCTGAAAAATGTATCTCCTAGCTTTCCGGTCTGAAGACTGAACCATTCCTGATATAATAAAGGAAAATTTTTCCAGCTGCATCCTTGTGAATCTAAGAAGAAGAGTCTTCTACTACTACAATCAGGGATACTTCTTCTCTGGAGTGTGCTTTAGAAACTGAACCAAATATGGATTTGGACCTGCCAGATCTCTGCAATGCATTGTACTGCCAGTATCCAGTTAGCAGAATAAGCTTTATTTCACTTATTTGTTGTCACAAGCTAAAATACCAAATTTGGTGTCTAGTCAAAAGTTATGGATACTGACAGCTGTGCCTTCCACTTCCCACAAGGCCAGCTTCTCTACCTTGTGTGTCTGGAATTATGGCGGTATGTTATTATAGTCATAAGTTGAGGCATGACATTTTTTGACCATATTTTGGTGATTGTTAAGCAAATGCCATGGTCCTTAAGCAAATGTATTTTCCCCAATTGGGCATTTTAGGCTGTACACCGCCCTGAGTCCTCCAGGAGGATGATGATGATGATGATGATGATGATTATTATTATTATTATTATTTTGTTCAACATTTATGTAAAGCCGCTGGGTGAGATCATCCGTGGTTTCAGGGTGAAGTACCATCAGTATGCTGACGACACCCAGCTGTACATCTCCACCCTGGACCACCCCAATGATGCCCTTGAAGTGATGTCCCGGTGCCTGGAAGCTGTACGGATCTGGATGGGGAGAAACAGGCTCAGGCTCAACCCATCCAAGACTGAGTGGCTGTGGTTTCCGACGTCCCGATATAGTCAGCTGGTGCCATCGCTGACTATTGGGGGCGAATCATTGGCCCCGATGGAAAGGGCTCGCAACTTGGGCGTCCTCCTGGATTCACGGCTGTCTTTAGAAGAGCATTTGACGGCCGTGACCAGGAGGATTTTTCATCAGGTTCGCCTGATCCGCCAGTTGCGTCCCTTTCTAGATCGGGACTCTCTACACACAGTCACTCATGCCCTCGTCACCTCTCGTCTGGACTACTGCAACGCTCTCTACATGGGGCTCCCCTTGAGGTGCACTCGGAGGCTCCAACTGGCGCAGAGTGCAGCCGCGCAGGTGGTTATGGGAACGACGTGGAGCTCCCATGTAACACCTCTCCTGTGCGAGCTGCACTGGCTCCTGGTAGTCATCCGAGTGCGCTTCAAGGTGCTGGTTATCACCTTTAAAGCGCTCAATGGCTTAGGATCTGGTTATCTACGGGACCGCCTGCTACCACCAATAGCCTCCCACCGGCCAGTACGCTCCCATAGAGAGGGGCTCCTCCGGGTGCCATCGGCCAAACAATGTCGACTGGTGGCCCCTAGGGGGAGAGCCTTCTCTGTGGGGGCACCTACGATCTGGAACAAGCTCTCCCCGGAGATACCGAGGATCCCGGATCTGCGCACCTTCAGTCACGCGCTTAAGATTTTTTTATTTCATCAAGCTGGCCTGGCCTAAATCCTTTCCCCTTTTAAATGTAAATTTTAATTTGTTTTAAATTATGGGGTATTTTAAATTCAGCCAAATTATTTAATTCGTTTTTATTTGATTTTAAATTTTTGTATTTATGTGTTTTTATCTTGTGGCTGTTCATTGCCCTGAGTCCTTCGGGAGAAGGGCGGTATAGAAATTTAATAAAATAAATAAATAAAATAAATAAAATAATAATAATTATTATTTATTGGTTAATCTTTAGTGAGATTCACAGCTTTGAGGCTGGTTAATAGCTCAGCAGCTCGAGTCCTAACCAAGGGCCTAGGAACTGTTAAGGTATCATCGGAGGATGTAAGCTGTTCCGAGTAAGGTGGTTTTTTCTAGAGTCAAAATGTTCAAGTCCGGCAAATTTAGAATTTCTAAATAGCGGGGTAGCCCTTTGGGTATTGCTCCGAGGGCTCCAATTACAATCGGGACAACACATGATTTCTTTTTCCACAGTCGCTCAACTTCAATTTGTAAGTCCCGGTACTTTGTGATTTTTTCTTGCTGCTTATCTTCAATTCGTGCATCACCAGGTATTGCAATGTCAATGAACCATACCCAGGTATTGCAATGTCAATGAACCATACTATTATTATTATTATTATTATTATTATTATTATTATTATTATTATTATTATTATTATTTTGCCAGAAACTGGAAATAAACACTGGAAACTGTCAAAAAAACATTACAAATCATGGTTATATGACCATGAGATGCTAAAATCTCTTTGAAGGTAAGCCAGTTGCCAAGTGTCCCAAATAGGATCATGTGACAGCAATTGTAACTTCAAAACAGATCATAAGTAGCTCTGGGGATGTGTGTTGTAACTTTGACTTTGTAAGTGACTGGTCATAAGTTGAGGACTACCTTTATGCAGATAGGTTGAAAAATATATGACCAAACCCAGGTTTCATTTCAGAAGCCATAAGTGGAACTTGTCTGAGGCAAGCCTTCATATCCACTTCAGTCTCTGATGAAAACCAAATAAATGATAAATTATTAGCCTGGGAAGATCAAATGAGATCTGCAACATTTAACTAAAATCTTGGTAGCCTGGAACCAAGCTATCTGTAACAGTGGCCAGTTAGTAGCCCTTGTTTGGGAGGCTTCCAGAACAGCTTACCTTCATCTATGTTCAAAAGTAACCTGCATCTGAACAGGGAAGTACCATCTACTAAAACTTAAAATCCCAATCTGATCAAATGTTTTCTTTTGTCTATTGCTTCCTTGAGATCTGAATCTAAAATATATTTGTGACTCTAAAATGAATTGTCTTCTTTCTTTGATAAGACTGAATGAGCAGTGAACTAGTAATTATGAAAGATAGACAGACAGACAGACACAGGCAGACAGACAAATGGATATTCTCCTGAAACATTAATTATTGTTAGAAAAAGGCATTTCTGACAAATATGTTAAATATAAACCAAGTATATAAGAACTGCAATGTCCAATGTTAATATCTTGACTCCGTTCTTACAATCCGAATTCCTTATCTTGTTTTGCAAAAAGCTTCAATGCTATCTTTCATCTTACCTGCTCAAAGAATTCATCCATGAAATGGTCTCGATCCACATGTACCACCTCTTCCTCATCATCACTGTCTTTGGCCTATCCAAAAAACAAAATTGATACAGGTTAGATCATAATTGGGCTCTACCTTAAAAGCAACACTGATCCTTGCTCTCTTGCCTGTTTCAAACAGTAATAAATATAGTGGCAGTGTAAATGTTAGGAAATGATATGCCACTTCTTGGGAGTAACAAATAAAATCCCAATTTTTCTAGACAGAAACACAAAGGAAGAATATTTAAAACTTTGGATCAATTAGAATATTGTCCTCTCTGGCTTAACAATGTTTACAGCAATTGGCAGATTTCAGTTGTTTTCTCTATGTTCCCTGAAAAGAATTAAATCTTAGTGCCCTTATGTGTGAAGAATTTCTTGCTATTATTTCCAATTTTCTGCTTTCCTTTTCTTTAATGTATTTCAAATCTTCACTGCACCCATAGACACCACTTCCAGAATCTGCTAATTTCTCTAAATTTACCAGCATCTTCAGGGTGACTTAATGATTCTTTGCATATAGAAAAAGAATCACCCCCCCCAACCAAAACCCCCCAAAACAATAGAATTAATGATGCCATGCAAGAAAAAATATTGTGAGATAATGGGTTCTTTTAAGATTTTTCCATTGTTGCATAAATCTCATGAAATTTGGGGCATAGTTTTTTTTTTTTTAAATCTTTCAAGAAAATGATAGTGCCCACACATCATGTGAAATCACACTAAAGTGTTTGTGACCTGAAAATATTATTATAATTAGCTTTTGCCCCCACGTAGCTAAGGCACCCAACCGAAAGACCTAATTTCTGAAAACAAGCATTTTCATGCTTCTTAACAAAAGCTTGTAACATGAAATCTGCCACATTTTAACAGCAGAAATCCAAGACAATCCAGACTCCAGTTGGATGCATTAATATGATTGGCAGAGGGAAACCTAGGAAAACAGCCAGGAAATCAAAACACATCCAACTACACAGGCAGATGGGAATGTACTATATATCCAATAAAAATATCTTTCCAGACAAACTTTGCAATGAGAAAGATAGAGGCTCTGGACGCTGCTAGTCATATTTACAAAACAGGGTAGAAATTCGTTCATACTAAATCATCCAAAAAAGCAGGGAGGAGAGGTTGTTATTATTTAATGTTTTGGGTGCATATTAGTCACAGCTTATTTATGCCTTCTTTTTAATGGCAACATGTAGCCAAATATTAAGCATAATAATAAATTCTCCGTCATGTTGAGCTCAAATTGGAAAAAGCGATGCTTGGCTATCGCTTTCTTAGAGAATGCTTCTGAACTCCCCAGTCTAGCCTGCATCCCTGGGATCTCCCAGTGGTCTCCCATTCAGATCCTCACAAAATTTGACCCTGCCTTGTGTTTCCAGAGCAGCCACAGTCATTTGCTGTCACAAGAATTAATGCAGTAATTGCAGGTGCAAGAATCAGAACCATCGGTTAGGTTGCAGCATAGAATATTTACTCAATATTTACATAAGAATCTGGTCAACAAAAGCTTGATGCTAAATTGGCACCAGATTAAAGGTCAATGGAATTCAGGGAGGGTTGAACTTGGAGCGCTTGGGGGAACGCAACAACTCCAAGCTGATGACATGTTTAACTCCACCTTCCCCAACACTGCCTGCTCTTCTACAGCAACAATCAATAGAAGGCTGTAACTGAGCATGTGCATAACTTTAGATATTTGAGCTTAGACATAAATCCTCCCTTACCTACAAACACAAACACACACCACTGGGTAGACTTAAACCCTGGTAATTTATGTTCTAGAAAATTAAGTATCCTCTGAAGCCTTAAGAGGGAGAATTAGCAGATCTGTTCATAGATGGGACAGGAGACCTTCCTGCAAGGAGCACAAAATTTGTATCTCAGCTCCTAAAAGGGGGAGAAATCATCCTTTCTTCATTCTGTAAGTAAGGAAAACACAGAGTCCATGCTTCTTCCTTTTTCTTCTTCTAACCTTCTAAGCTTGATTTCTCTTCTAGGAAAGGGTTGGGGGAAAGCCACTTAAAGAGTCCTCCTGGCTGCCTCCATTTTTCCAGCCTGGGGCTGAATTCAAAGACATAATAAAGCCACCACCAGATTTGGGGAGCAGAGGTGTGCAAATGAAGGTCATAAGCCAGAAGTTTCCCTTCACTTAAGAGTTCACCAAAAGCTGTTCACTGATGGACATTAAATTGAGTTTAAAATGAGAGAAATATTACTGTATAGGTGTGTGATTAGAGAATAATCATATTAGATATATTTCACTATAACGGGTATGTTAAAGGGGGTCAAAATGGTGCCAAAACGATGTGAGTAAAGCCCCATTTCTTCCCTTGTGTCCACCTGTTGGGATTACAATATTAAGAACTCTGTCTAGGAATCCTAAAATGTTTAATCCTAAAATATCATAAAGCTGCTGGATTGAAGAAATTCACTTTGAAGGGTTTGTTTCCAGGTATAGCACCAGAGGTGGAAATTCACAGCCCTCTGGATTTTATAGAGTGGCAACCAGCAGAGCAGCTGTTACCCTTTAATACAATCTAGAATGGAGGAAGAAAGGGGGTGAAAAGGACTATTCAGCATCTACAGGTAGTCTTTGACTTACAATAGCTTGTTTAGTGAGCATTCAAAGTTACAATGGTACTGAAAAAAGTGACTTATGACATTTTTCACACTTATAACCATTGCAGCATCCTCATGGTCATGTGATCAAAATTCAGATGGTTGGCCACTGACTCATATGTATGACCATTGTAGTGTCTTGGGGTCACGTGATCCCCTTTTGTGACCTTCTGACAAGCAAAGTCAAGGGGGAAGCCAGATTGACTTAACAACCATGTTACTAACTTAACTGCAGTGATTCACTAAACAATTATGACAAGAAAGGTAATAAAACGGGACAAAACTCACTTAGCAAATGTCTCACTTAGCAATGGAAATTTTGGGCTCAATGGTGGTCTTAAGCCGAGGACTACCTGTATTTACTTTCCAATCAAAAAAATATAGCCTGAAGCTGACCAAAATAAAATAAAAATAAAATTAATCCTAGGTGATAGCCACATTTTCCATTAATCAGCATTTTCTCCTTGTCCACCAGTGCTTGGCAGGTCCTTTGGGGGAAATAACTGACAAGGAACCTTGAAACTTACTGCGATGGGCAGCAGCTAGATATTACTGTATGACAAATGCCTTTCATTTTCTGTTTGCTTTATTAGCCTTATTTGATTTTTATTTCCTTTATTCTGCCTCCCAGGGTTGTCTTGTAAAACCCAGGAAAGCCACCTTCAACGCCAAACATTGCCGCATCCTAAGCCAGCAAGCCCCACCTCACCCAATCATTCCTAACTCTTGATCCCCTCTATTTGCATATGAGAATTGTACAGCAAGTCTATTGACTCCTCCAATTATTTCTCTGCCAGACCGTATGGTTGGCTGTCTCATTCACGATTGGCTGTTCTCCAAATCTCTTTGCATTAGCTCTTTATGTTACTTTCAGCTGGTTCCGGTAATTAAGCTACCTTAAGTCTGGATCCCTGACATCCTCTTATTCTCAAAAGTTATTGGTTGCTTCGCTGGCTAGTTTGCATCATGGCCTGAGAGTCAAGACAGGCCAAGGTCATCTTGTGGAACAGAGGAGTGACCCTATCTGGTCAGACAAACAGACTATCCATCTCTGACAGTGGCCGTCAGAAGCAGCCAGAAGGGGGCACTTATGAGTCTATCTATCTACTGTCAATCAGTTGGTGAATGTTGGCAGTCTAAGAGTTTGAGAACACTCTGCTCACGATGCTATCTCTCTCCAGTTTCAAGGAATGCTGCTAAGAAAAACTATCGGAATGATCAAACGGAATCTGATTATATACCAAAACACGTTTCTGCCAGGAAGGATAGGCGTGAGGTCTTCCCCTTGAGAATGAGATGCAATTTGCTGATGATGCAGAGAAGGGAGGGTTCGAAGCTGTGTCTCTTTTGTTTAAGGATCCAGCTTTGGGTGCTAACTGCAGATAATAGAAATAGATTTGAGTCCCTCTTTGCATTCCACTTCTCAGCAGTATTTCCCATCAGGCTACTCAAGCGTTCCTCGGATAGTCTAGAGGGGGTTAAGACCTGCTCGTCTGGAACAATAGTCTAGGGGAAAATGCTTTCCTGGATGTGAATGGTTTCAAACATAGATGGGAATAGATCTGAGTCAATTAGGTTACTAAAAGAATGACAAGCACACACTAAGCACGTGGTTACAACTGAAAATACGGAATGGAGTTTTCTTTCGAGACATCCTTGCAGGTTTGATTAGTGCTCTTCGGCCCCAGAGACATCTTTGCAAACTCTCACACATAATAAAAGTCCACTCTGCCTTATTTCCATGTGTGGATGCTCCTGCAGTTTGCCCTTCCGATGTGATTGACTTCTTCCAATTTCCCTTCTTTGCATGACTCAAAACCTCACACCACCTTATTCCTCCAAGAGTGACTGGCTATCTGGCCTATCCGGTTCTCTCTATCCAGAGTGACTAAGCTGTTTTCTAGCCAATAAGAAGATGCTAGTAGAAGTCGGGTACAAGATTGGTAGCAATGTTGACTAAATGGGGTGGGGTGGGATGAGGGAGGAGGTAATTATATAATTTATGGTTGCCCATTTTTTGTGCCTCTCCTCCTGCCTGAACAAGAGCAGGGAAGGAAGAAATTCAGAATGAAAAACTTTTACTCTCTCTAGCTAGTTCACTGTGGGGAAATGAAGCTGCCAAGAGTAGTTATCCTGGAGGATGCTTATTGATATGGTCAGTCAAGAGTCAGCATCAACATGAATGGCACATAATTAATAAAGCTGCAAAGTTATGGACTTGGAACAGAAAATGTCACAGAGAGGGACAGAACTTGTGGGATATATTAAATTAAAAATACATTCTGTCTGGTGAGGAACTGCATGATTAGAGATTAAAAAAAAAACCCAAACCCAAGGGTTGTATTGTTAGCCTTTAGATTCAGGAACCAGTGTTGGGGGGGTGGGGAGGGGGCTCCTAGGTCTTGCTACCCCAAATT